TTTTGTTTTAATTACAAGAAGAAAAAGAAAAAAGAGACACCCGTGATATTTGCATTCGAAGAATAACTCCAATTCTATGGATACAGGGGAATGATTTTAAAGTTTGTACGGAGGTATGAATGAAATCATAGAAAAGATATAAAAAAAAAAATCGTTAAATAGAATAGCAGTAAAACAAAGAGGAATTGATGAAAGAGAAAGAACTATTATAGTCGGATTAGTCTAAACAAGGTGTAGTGAAAAGCCGAGAAACGAATACTACGAAAAGGGATGATGGTCAGAGATAGCGGCATTCTAAGAAGTTTTCTTACCACTATAGATCTACCTTTGCTTATAGAAAAACTTCTTTCTTTTTCAGGTAGGAACCAGCGCTCCTCGTAATTTCTGGATTTAAATTTTGGTCAGGGAACCCTAATGCTTTCTCTTCTTGCTTTTTAGTTCTTCCGCTCACTCCCTCTCTCTCTCTCTCACTCTTTTTCTCTTACTTTGCTTTTCTATTTTCACCTTACTGTCAACACTAAACTACTGCAAACTATTTAAGAATATCAGTTCAATGAATTCACAAATTCTCCTTGATAAACCCCGAATTACTAATCCACGATTTTTCTGACCCGATTTCTAAGCTTTTACACAATTTTGCTTTGTACTATTTTCTTTTTTTTTTTTCTTCATGAAATGACCCTATTCTTGGCACCATATCTCAGTATTTTTATCTTGTGTCGAATGTCCCATTGCCATTCTTTCTCTCTCTCTCTCTCTCTCTCTCTCCTAAGTCCTCTCTTCCAAGAATATTTTATTATAAAATAGAACTTTCACGTATTTCTCTATCTTATCTATTTTTCATCATGTTTTATAACATTCTACAACACGACTTAGAATTTATAATATCAAATAAAAATTGGATTATTTTATTATCAAATTGTTAAAAAATTCGCATGCTTTTTTACATTTTCCAAATTTTATACTAAAGTATATTTTTTCTAAGTACAGTAATCGATCCAGTTGTTAGAAAAGTCATAATCAAATAGTTTTCAACAAATAACAAAATATCAAATTGTTGAAAGAATATAACAAAAAGTAGAATAAAATTTTTCTATCATCCTAAAACAACATCACTGAGAATAACCAAACTGATAGACTCATTGGGAGAGGAATGATCCTTTAGATAAATCTAACTTATAGAAGAAAGTTCTCATTTCTATCCGACGGCTAGACAAATCTGCTAGTGGATACTGTATTTTTCCCCTAGACAATTGTATTTTTATTCCGCTCCTATTACTGCCAGTTTAAGTCCACACGTTTTGCCTTTTTGACAAAGCGACTCGAATCTCTTATTCTGCGTCTTATTCTCCCTCCATTTTATACAAATACATAATACACATATGTATTTTATATGTGTGGTATACGTGTACGGATATAGGGATTTCTATACACGATAGATTACGAATACATGGAAACGTATCTATCTTTTAGGAAAATATCTTTTAGGGACAGTTACATGGATAATCTTTCCCTCTTCTCATTCTAACTTTCAGTGCATTTGCACCAAAGCCAAAACTGTACGAGCTAAGAAACGAACGAAGGAAGGAAGGGACGAAGGAAGGGACGAAGGAAGGGACGAAGGAAGGGACGAAGGAAGGGACGAACGAATGCACGCACGACCGAGCATTCAAAAAAAGTTTAGGGTCGATCCTTGATTCTGAATGGCGGCGGCGGCAGCGGCAGCGGCGGCGACAACCTACCATCGGATGTAAACGCAAAATCCTAAGGGCTCAACACGTTTCACAAGATACATCTCTATTAATACTGAAATATCTAACAATCTAAGATTCCAAACGGAAGTTCGCATTATTGTATCTACTTGAGTTCGGTATCTAAGAAAATAATGTCATTAAAATTGATGACAATTCCATAGGATTTTAAGAAAAAAAGGGTCTCAAGTTTAATCCCTAGTAGCATTCATATGAAATATAGTATTATTGAAATTTAGAATAATTTAAATGTTGGTAAGAAATACTTAACATAAGTTTTTATTACAGACATATTTATAACTGTTTGTCATATTTAATATTTCTTGACAGTAGTCAATTGTAATAATTAACGGTACATATGTAAAAAAAACAAATATTTCTATTCGATGAAAAGTTTGACCAAGAAAAGTCGAAATGTTATCTCAATGGTCAATTTCTAAGAAAATAGAAAAAGTCGTTTTCAATGAATTCTACTTTTAATTATAGTTCAGGTTTGTGAAAATACCACAAGTCCTTCTACTAATCCTACTTTTACTTCACAATCAAGATCGGAAGCCCCTTGAAGATACAAGTTAGAGGATTACTACCAAGAAGTAGAAACTGCATAAGATTTTCAGTGGGCTTAGAAAAATATAACTGTAGAAAAATGTCTTTCTTTTGCCTTTCTGAACACAATTGAATTTAATCTGAATTGGCGCCAATACCGTCTAGAAAATTTGTCTAGGTAGCTAAGAAGACGAGTATGTTGCGTTAAAAGGTAAAATACGAATACAGAAGCACGAACCTTTGTTCGTTTCTCTTTAGAATAAAAGGGGTTAAAAGGCAAATAGAACGGAAATCCTCTTCAAGAAAGAAAAGATTTATTTCCGGTTGTATCAGAGTTTCTGGTTTGTCTATTTCTAACGCTAAATATTTAAAATGTAAAATTCATATTTATTATAATATTTGTATTGTTAGATATCATATAAAAGAAGTATAATACGAATAAACACGATGATGATATCATCAGATTCGTAAAATAGTAAAGAGGGTAGATAGATGAACGTGTAACTTGTCGAGAGATCCAATCTCTCGATGATATTACTCGCAGTTATTATGACGGATTCTTCGCGTAATTCGTGCCATACTCACCCCCTGTTTTCCGTACCTCCTATCTCTCTTTCTCGCACATACACACACACATACACAAATAAACACGTGTACACACAGGTTGAGGGGTTCGAATGTAGAGGAGGGGTCCAGAAGTAGGTATGAGATAATTCAAGATGGAGTCAGGGAGTCAGAAGGAGCATCTGCTTTTTATTCTGTTTATATTCTTCATTCATTCAAGAAAGAAAGAAAGAAAATCAGATAGATCGGGTAGATAAAAATTAGATACGAACGTATGTTACAAAAATATATGTATATTATTTATTTAGCGTTTCGAAGAATTATGTATTTTTGAGGTTATTTAATTTTGTATGGGAACACTGACAGAATTTAGTATTTACGGCAATGAACTTTCCAATTCCCAATGCCAATTAATAATAATAATAACAATAATAATAATAATAATAATAATGTAATTTTGTATTGTATAGTTGCTGAAGAAGTCCTAATAAAAGGACTAAACGTTCAATAAGATCAAAACAAACATGTTCTGATTTTGTTACCTTTCTCCAACTTCTTTACTAATTAAATAATTAGATATTGTTCTAAAGAAACAAATATATAAACATCTGAATATGACACTTCCTAGATGTTAAATAAAAAATAAAAAAACAAAATAAGAGAGAGAAAATGAACGGGGTGTAGGAATCACGGTGTCTCCCGATTAATCCGAGCTTAGCTTTCAACCAATGAGGTGAAAGTCCTTAGTATTTTGTACAAAAGTACTACTACTTCCTCCACTCCTCCTCGAACATGCACGGGATTTTATACAACCCCTGTAACTAAAGGGAAGGAAGCAGTCGGAGTCCTATGAAAAGGAACGCCCTTATTCTAGGGTAGGGATAGTTCTCGACCAATGAACATTTTACCCGCTACTATAGGACTTTGAAAACGTGCCCGAGACGATAGATGGCATCCAAAAGTCCTTTCTTGCTTGATCTTCAGTCAGTGCTTGTCGCTTGTTAGATGTAAGTCCTATTATTCACCTCCGTTTGTATATTTTCTTTTTTACATTCGGCACCCCCGGTTCTTAATTCTAAATCTTCATAGTTTATAATCGGAAATATTCGAAATAATACTAAATATGTTTTTCGATAGTTGTCATTTGTATGTTTTCGCATCAACCTCGTGATTAAGGATTTTTCGAAACAACAATACTCCGGTATTCTGTATAGTGAAACAAACCAACAAACAAACAAACAAACTGAAGTGTCTTGTTATGTTATGACACATTTGGACGGAAATTATTGTGATTAAGTTTTCATATATTTTTATGTGTGAACCTTAACAAAATCAAGACACAGTTTACAAGACAGGAAGACTAAATAATATGCAGAATCCCGATCAAGTTCACATTCCTGTCGGTCAACCAAAGTTACCATCAACATCCTCTAGTAAGATATTATTTATATTTTTTTTAACTCTTTCTCTTATAAAAAATCTTGAATTGTTTATTTCGTTTTATCGAAATAAATAATATTATTCGTTTTAGTGCTAATTGTCACTAATATTTAATATTGTTTACTGTCCTTTTTCGCGTACTTGTTATAACGAACGAAGTTGCAGTAAATCCATTTTTTTTAACAACAAAACACTCTAAATATTTTTTCAAACATATGAATGTGCCATGAATCTCATATGATTCCTATTGATAAACTTATAATTTTTTAGAACTGATGTCACAAAATTTGTATAATAACGGAATATGTTAAATTTCTACTTTCACATTCTATTTTAGAAAGTTATCCAAAGTTTTTAATCCGGGATATTTTTATAACATTATAAATATATATAACACGTAAGCATTGAAAAGGTTGAGGAACAATGAACATTTAGGGCTTTTTTTTCTTCTATTGTGTCATGTCTTTTGTGGAAAGGTATGGAAAATTCCGAAAGTAAAGGGTTGCTAAGTATTCGTAGTATTCAAAAGTGTATCTTAAAATAATTTTGTCTCTTTTTTTTCTTTTCTTTTCTTTTCTTCTCTTCTCTTTTTTTTCTTATTCGCTATCCTTTTTTCTTCTTTTCGTTTGGAAATGATTTGACCGTACGAGCTAACCTACCAACAGAAATCGACGGCTTTATACCTGTTCTATTTTTAGCATGTTCAGCATGTTCTCACTATGTCGTACAGAAACTAATACCCAATTTGAACATAAAAAGTATAAAAAACAAGTATGCACGACAGTATTTATTATTCCTTTGAATATTTTTCCTTTTTCATAGTATCTTTTTGATCAGAATATATTTTTTATTATGTGTCTCTCAATTCAACCTTTTATGAATTTCGTCAAACAAAAGTGAAAATGAAAAAAATGTGATTTATTACTTGTAATAATTTCACACGTGTTCGTATAATCATAATAATCTTGGTTAAAAAAAAATTATATAAATTCTATTATATAATTTATTCGACAATATAAATAATTTGAATATTAAATCATATATTTACAATACTTTTTGTTACATGTTTTTAGATTTGAGATTAATTAAAATAATGATTACGCATAAATTAATTGTTTATCATTTTGGTATTTGTAAATATGAACTATTTCATTCAACATTTTTCTATTGAGTTTCTCAGGACACAGGATATTATCCTGTGATCTCGTGTGAAATAAAAAGCATGTGGCATTTAAATTTTGGACAGACATTTAAACGATATTCACCCAGTTCATCCCTCCGACGGTGGTGTACACTTCCATGAGAAAATGATGACAGATGGTGAAATTGTTTCCGCGATGCGAAGGGAATCAGGGTGTGGGTGGTGAGCTAACAGGTTGCTATGCATCACTGATCATTATAGTCCGTCAGTTGCTCGTGAATCTCCGTTAGTTGATGAGATTTCTTTAAATTACCTACGCTATTATTAATAACAACAATCATTTTACTATTGTTCAATTAATTTTATTTTATTTTTAATATCAATTATTAATATTATTGTTTATTTCAAATGAAATATCAATTTATACAAGTTTTTTTATAATACTTCAACGAAAATTTCATATAATAAAATTAATCTTTTTTTTTTTCTAAAGGATTATAGAAAAGAAGTTTTATTATTCTCGAAAAAAATGTAACACTTTTCCCAAAATGAAAGGAACAATATGCTAAGAAATCTGACACAGAACTACCATATAGAAAAAAAAAAAACCATTTCCAGATGTTCCTAAATTTAGAAAAACCCGAACAAGAAGAATGCATTTGTCACTATTAGTGTATCCTAACCATTGAAAAACCTAAAAGCATCAAACAATAAGCCCATTGAGGAAAAATTTTTGAATGAATGAAAATGAAGAATAGAAAAAATATCAATCATCACCATAAAGTATGCATCACATTATTTGATCACCGTGTTGAAAATGGAATTGATGATTGAAAGGAGTGGTAGGGGTAGAATTGAGCGAAACTCGCAGATGACGAATAAACGCGTCTCGCACCCTAACTTATGGACACACACATACGTGTGTGTGTGTGTGTGTACACTTAGGTAATGTTGAGAAACAGAGAAAGAGAATGACATCGATAACACATATCGATATGACTGGTAACACATGTCAGAAAATTCCCATGCTTCAGTAACGCCTACGTTACCCAAACACACCTGATGGTCCGGAAAACGATATGGTCGATCGTGTTTTNTTTTTTTTAGGATATACGATGATGTCATAGTAATTATTCTAATTTCACCTGTTCTTACTTTATCATTTTTCAATTATTTTTTACTCTCATTTTTTTATTGTAAAAGTTTCTTTAATGCACTTAAATCAAATGTTGGGATTGTGTTTTTTTTTTTTTAATTTTATTCTTCAACAATTTATATTATTGAATAATATATTTAATACAAAATCTATCAATTGATTAATAAATAATTCAATTAAATATTTTTTATGATAAAGGAAATATTGGAAAAAATTTGTTAAATATAGAGGGGCAAGTTAACAACTTTAGAATTAATCGTAATTTTTACGTTATAAATCGAAGAAAAAAAAGGGAAGTTGAAACTGATAGAAAAGTTGTCGAGGAATATAACTTAATCCTATAATTAACTAGATAGCGGAGTATAATTTCAGCGAAGGTAAAAGCGCATTGACAATTCTTGTAGTTTTTCGTTACCACACCCCCGGTTCCTTCGTGTCTTTTACGACCCACAACCCCTTTTTCACCCTTAGAGGTAACCGCCGACGGTCAGAAACTTTTGCTTCGACTTTGTTTTTTTTTTTTTTTTTCTTTTAAATCGCGAGCCAAACCAAAATCACAAAACTCATGCAAATAAAAATAAAACAAAAATCAACGAATCTTTCGTAAATATCGGATAATAGTACAAATAAAAAAAAAGAAATAAATAAAACAATTTAAATGAGAATCGATTGGTATAAGATCTTTCGCATTGTTCACTCGTGCGTTAAATCTTTAAAAAATTCATTCATTCGTTTCGTTTTTTCCTTGACCCCACCCACTCTTTATTGTCACGTAAAGGTAGTAGCAAAATTTTACATTTCGTTTCTCTCTCTCTCTCTCTCTCTCTCTCTCTCTCTCTCTTGGTCTTTCTCATTCTATTCAGGGAATACGGGATGACAAAAAGAAAAAAGAAAAAGAAAAAGAGGGTGGTGTAGGATTTAATGTCAGTACTTTCTCGCATGAAACCTAATCGACGAAGCGAGCTTTCGCGCATCGACGTAGGTAATAACGCCGTTCGAGGGTTTTACGAGAGAGAGAGAGAGAGAGAGAGAGAGAGAGAGAGACCCATAATGCATTATATTCAATACTATCACTGCCATTCTAAAAATCCCATATGAAACTTTGAGAATACGCGATGTGTTGTGTGGTAGTAGTTGCCAGTGGAAAAATGATGGACTTCAAGAGCCACCACTAAAACATAACCTATCATATACGAATGAAAAATTCAATCGCGAATTACTATTGCTTTTTTTCATCCCTCCCCACCCCATCTTCTTCCTTCCACTCCCATCTACGTGTATCCATACACATAGGCATTAGTTTACCTCTTCCTCTTTCTTTTTTAGTTTCTACATACGCAAACGCACATACCACACGTACACTTATGTTTGGTTTTTTTTTCTTTTCCCTATAAGATTAAACACATCATTTTTTATCTCGTTTGCCACGATTATACAAAAATACGTACACATTTTCTGTTTTCTTTTGCAAACATTCTTATATAGATATTTTTTAGTTTTTATTATTATTTTTTTTTTTTTGCATAAATGAAAGAAGAGGATTTTTCTACGAAGAACGAATGCAAATTGACATGCAGTCATTTTTCGCGTATATAAAAAAAAATAGAAAAAAAAGAAAAGAGAAAAAGAGAAAAGCTCGCGTGATTCTGTGGCACGCTTTGCAAGCTTTGCACGCTTTGCGAGTCCTACATGCGTACGCTTGAAACTTTCCCTCGACTAGGGAAAGAAGAAGAGAAGGGCTTCAATCGCAAAGGGCGGCGAACGTTTTCTCCCCTGTTATTCGGTATGAACCGGGACTACTCATACATTTTCTACATACGTGTATGTAGGCTACATATATATGCATAGGCGTAGCAGGATACCTCTTGACAATTCTTAGTCGAGTGCTTATAAATTCGACTCTTTGTACGAAACTTTTATCTATTCCTGAAACCGATGATGATTGTTACAATTTACAAAGCCAATTATCGTCTTTCTTTTATGAACTAATACAACATTTTTATAATCTCTGTGAACTCACTAAATAAAAGTACAAAGAAAATTACACAACTAATATAACATTTTAATCAATTTTACATTAATTTATTATATTATATTATTTTGTGTATTAATATATTTATTAATAAATGTAATCTCGTATGCACACACAGTTTACATACCGATTAATCTACGCACGATCCGATAAAATCAACATTTTAGTATTTAGAAAAAAAAATAGAGAGATTAGTAGTAGTTATATAGAGAAGAAAGAAAGGTATTAGATATCGATAAAGAAAGTGAAAAAGAAAAAAAAAAGAAAGATTTGAGAATGAAGAATAAAGAAATAGAAATAGAGAGATGGTGCGATATGATTTGTACGAAGTGTCGTGTTTCTTACTGCTCACTTAAAATCGTTGTTGAATGCATCTACCACATCCGGTCCATTGAGGTTCCTATTCACGATCTCTTTCGTTTCAATGGCGTAGGCGGAGTTCATGATGATGAGGAGAGGAGTGTGTTGCTTGATGCGCGTCTATTATAAACGTTATAGTTGGGTAGAGTGTGTACACCCTTTGCACTGTTCCTGCTGCTGTTGCTATTGCTGATATACCTAAAGGGCTATGCAGAAATAGAAGAAGAAGAAGAAGAACGTGGTTGGTGTGTACTGGCTTTTAAACATCAACGGGGTGGGGAAGACAAGTTCATAGTGACAAATCAATCTCTTGATATTTCACGATATATTTCCTTTCAACACCACACATTATTCGAAATTGAACTCATGTTTTGCCTGCTAAACGAGTCTCCCAAGGAAAATATGCTGCTTTTATTGTATTCATCGAACAAGATTAACGTCAATCATCATCCATTCTAACATTTTATCAATGGAAAACGTTTATTCGCATACCCACCAATCCATATTCGATTCTAAAATATGTCCACGCGATCCAATTCCGTTTAAAAGGTCTTTGTGTTAGATTTCTTTTTTTCTTTTTTTTTTAACAGATTAACCTTCTTTTTTCTTATTCTTTTTATGCTCTTTTTCTTTTTTGTTTACAGGTCGGATACTTTATGATATACCGTGCAAGGTTTGTAGGGATCATTCATCTGGCAAACATTATGGTATATTTGCCTGTGACGGGTGTGCTGGTTTCTTTAAAAGGTCAATAAGAAGAAATCGACAATACGTTTGTAAAGCCAAATCCGAGGGTGGTTGTACGGTTGATAAGACGCATCGTAATCAGTGCAGAGCTTGTAGATTGGCCAAATGCATCGAAGCTGGCATGAACAAAGATGGTAAATTAATTTTTCAAGTACTTGCAATAACCTAACAATAAAATACTTTAAACAGGAAATTATCTCTGTATATAAAGAGATAGATTTGTGTTCCAATTTATTTACCATCATTTTGTATTTTTTTAGCCGTGCAACACGAACGTGGCCCACGTAACTCCACTTTGCGTCGTCAAATGGCATTTTTTTACAAGGAACCAGAAATGATGAGTAGCGTAGTACCACAACAACCAAGTGCAGCCTTAGATCTTGCATTACCAAAACCACCAACGGAACCACGAGTATCCGTCGCACCACCTACGCCTCATCATCAACTTCCACATCCAGCTTATTGCAACATCCTCGGTGTACCTAAAGTACATATATTAATCATTAAACTAAACTATACTATTAACATCGTAAATAGAATTACTAAATGTTTTGTATATTTGTTGTTTAAGGTTCCAATAACAATGGGAGAGTTACCAATCTACCCGTTGATATCAACGATCACGGTGGAATCGATTTGCGAGCAAGCAGCTAGATTATTATTTTTAAATATCAAATGGACAAGAGATTTAATAGCAAATACTGAATTAGAATTGGAAGATCAATTGATATTATTGAAATCATCTTGGAGAGAATTGTTTCTTTTAGCTACAGCACAATTGTTGCCAACGTTAGATCCAACACCTTTGATGCTACGCGGTGGTGGTCCCCAAGAACAAAACTTAGCTGTCGAAGTAGCGAATTTTAAGAATACCATTGCTGGCTTTACCGAAGTCAATCTCGATCAACACGAATACGCGTGTGTCAGAGCAATTGTCTTGTTTAAGACTGGTATTGACAATTATCCTATATCAAGTAGCAGAAACAGTTGTTCGGGATCACCTTCCTCCAACAATGGAAATTTATCAAATGGTGCAGCTACGATCATAAGATTACACGACAGTGCACAATTAGCTCTTGGACAAAGATTAAGCGGTGCTTTGGGTATACTTAGGCTTAGAAAAGTTTTATTACTCTTGCCATCGTTAAAATCTGTTTCCTCCCAAGCCATTACCGAACTTTTTTTCAAAAGAACTATCGGACACATTCCAATGGAAAAAATCATTTGCGACATGTACAGATCCGATTCCAAACAATAATTTCACAAATTGTTTAATTATTATCAATTAGTTTTCATTTTGAACGGATTAAAGATAAACATCGAAACGTTCAAATGAGTTAATTAAGAAAACAAAAAACGAATAAATGTTTTCATTTAATAAATTACTAGTCCATGACTACTTAATGAATTTTATTTTTTGAATGATAACATTTAAATATTACAGTTGCATTTTGTTATTGATTAAATCAGAAAAGTTTTGTTTTTGTTTATTAAATATTATTAATATTTTTCTGTTCTATCTATTATGAATAATTTTGGAAACGAAGAAGAAGGAGTATTGCTTATAATTGAAATTGTTTTTGACGATTATGTTACAGCACCTATGTGGTACATCGAATGCAATACTAACTACGATGTAAATATACACATAAAAAAAAAAAATATATATATATATATATATATTTATAATATTATTAATAAAAATAATAATAATTATAATATTAATATTAATAATAATACTTGTATTAATTAGTGATAATAGTTAATAATTATAAATATGAGCGTTAATTATTAGAGTTACATTAGATTTAGTTGTTAAACCAATGAAGGAAAAAAAAAATACGAAATGTGTACTTAAAGATGTAAAAAAAAAATAAAAAAAATAGTTAATGACAGATTTAAAATCTAAAAATTAAGAAAAAAAATCGTTGAAACGTTCGACGTTATAAAAATATATGAATGAATAAAAAATGTGAGTCTGCATTTAAATATGGTAATTATAGAATCGTATAAGATGACGAAATAAAAATTAGTAAGCGAATTTAAACCAAAGTTTTATTTTTTTCCGAATGAAAAAAATCCTAACGTTAAGCTATGTTAAATTAATTCGATTTAATCGAAACAAAAAAATGATACAAATAATTAAATACTATATTGTTTAAATAAAAATAAAACAATAGTTAATTTCACATATCATTTACTTTAATTAATCCCTTGTCATATTTAAGTGATAAAATATGCATAAAAATAATCGTTAAATGTAAATCGAATTTGTTGATTTGTTGACAAACAAATAAAACGATAATGTACAACAAAGAAAGAGAAACGAGAAAAAAAAGGAAAAAAGAAATAAAATTTATTCTCGGAAAAGATGAAAGTACATAAGAAAATGTGTTGAGTTTTCTTTCCCTTTTTTTTTTTTTTTATATCTTACTTGTTTTTTTACGTTTAGTTCTCGATTCTGGGATAGAGAGAGAAAGAAATGGATGGGGAGAAGAGGAGTCTCCGAAAGAAGAAAAAGAAAAGAAAAAAAAAAGAAAAAAAAGAAGAAGAAATGGAACAGTGAAAAAGGTAGGAAAAACTTTACCTGGTTCCGATCAGACTTTTCTTTCATTCACATACACACGCACACACACACATCTACTTTTAAACGTGTATACACAATGCTGGCCGTTTTAACGAAAATTTTACGGCGATTTGAACGATAATCGTTGCACAAAAGGTAGCTCCGCCACAGGTTGTCCATACATTTGGAAACTATTTCTTAGTTTGGTTGACCGATGACGTGTAATTATCAACAACAAATGAAATGTGATGGGTAAATCATTCATTTCGGAACATCAAAAAAAAAAAAAAAAGAAAGAAAAAAGGAAAACTTTGAGAAACGAAAGATAAGTATCTGTGTATGTAAAATTTGAGAATTCCTAGTTAAAAAATCATCTTATAACAAATAATGAATGACAAAGAAGACGACGCGCGCGACGAATTTTTGTAATTATTTATTTGTTAATATTTTTAAAAGAAAAAAATATATTATAAAACATTTTGTAATGATTATAGATGGAAGAGATATATTTTATATATTGTCTTTAGAAAAAATTGCAAATTACAATTATTTGTTTATATTTCTTGTTTTCTATTTTCTTTACTATAGTAGCGTGGTTTAAAAAAATGTAAATCTCAGCTTTTATTTCGATGAAAGAAGTTATTTGAAAGATGCAATAGAAAAAGTTAGTATAAATATACTCGAGAATGAAAAGCGTGACAAAATATTCTCACGAATGGAATACATACTTCGACGAAAGAAAGAATGAAAGAAAGAAAGAAAGAAAGAAAGAAGAAAGAAAAAGTATGCGGGACTTAGAATGAACCCAAGCCCAGGTTCGAGCCCAGATCTGAATCCCAATACGGTGTTCGACTCCAAAGGAACTTCGAGTATGCTCTTCTAACTCACATGACCGAATTCACTAATGGTAAGTGTTTTGCTACTCGTGAGCTCGTTTTTATTTTTCCAAATTTTGTTTACATCGACATTTATCGATTTTATCACCCATTTTATCATCTACAATTTTTATTTGCAAATCTTTTATTTGAATCATAAAAATATTAATTATATAAAAAATGTTCTACGACAATTCTTTATTCTATGTAATATCATTTTTAATAAACTATTTTAGTAGAAAAACTATATAATACAATGATGTTGTAAGATGATTGTTAATAATAATAAATAATAAAACTGTCGGAATTTTACAAAGGATGTCAATAACAAGTAAAAAAGAAAAGTCGACGAGGAAGAAAAGAAGAAGATAAAAAAGGAAAGAAGGAAGGACAGGGATAGGTTTAACATAGGTTAAAAGGGATACCTTAAACCAAAATACAAAGATGAAAGGCAGGATTAAAGGCACACCAGAAGATTCAAAGTCAACAAAAAAATGTTCTGTTATACATTGTACACTGACAAATTACTCAGGTAAACAGTGTCCGCTTCTGAATCGGTATTTTTCAAACTTTGATTTCGTGGACCTGTTCCTACAAAAAAATAAAACTAATAATCTTTTTTCTTACTTGAAATTATTATTGTTATTTTAGAATATGAATTATAGTTTGTTGTTTTACGTAATAGATTAAGAGTGATCAAAAATATTGTAGAGAATTGAATGAGAGAGAAATTTGAAAGACCTGTTCAAAAGGATCACTATAATATAGTCAAGATTTTCTATTTCTCACTTTTACTTTCTCCAACCCCTTTTCTATTGAAAATGCTTATAAATAAATCGAAAAAAATTGTATAAAAAAAAATTTGTAGACAAATTGTTGAAAATTATTTAACTAACGACGAAAATAGGACGAAAGAGATATAAGAAATGAAATTTATGAATTATTTTAAAAATTAGGGATTTAGAGAGGGGATTATAAATTTGGACGGTCCGAAAATTATGCTACTTGGGACAAAAACAGGAGAGAGAGTAGGGTTTAAAATAAAAAAAAAAAAAGAAAATAAAAATAAAAGGAAAAGAAAAAGAGAAAAGTATATCGGTTGGATGCAATTAACATCTTGATTTAATAACACTCACCACTCAACCGTATGTTACAATTTTGATCGGCCCAGTGTCCAAGTTGTTTCTCGAGACTCAAAAGAGGGCAACCCGCTCTTGAAAAAGTAATACACTGTAGCAGTTTCCGGACGAATGAATAATAATCGTGAGTACTTCTCTTTATTTCTATTATTTCCATTATTCTCTCTTCTCTCTTCTTTTCTTTTTATACCATTTTCTTCACTCGGTGAGACCAAGCCAGCCACCCGAGTGGAATCGCAACAACAACAACAAACAACAAGAACTATGAGGAACAATAAGGAATATAATGTCGTCGAGTAGAGAACGGTGTTGAACCCGTTGAATTCCTTCGCTTTAAATAAAAGAGACCTCCCAGCGACGATTGTACAATCATGTATCAAAAAGTTTACATATATATATATATATACACGTTATGTTTAACATGTGTATGTATGTGTATGCGGGGGTCATTAAAAGTGAACAAGTGGTTCCCACCGGTGAAATATCAGCACCTTGCCCGTCCCAACTTTTTTTTAGGGTGAACACAGTTTCGATTAGAAATTATTACATATTATATATTTACTTGTTGCAAATTTTCAAATCAAATATAGTATCTAATTAATTAGTTCAATGATAGACTAGTTTAATTTTCTTTAAATTAGAAATAATGATTATTCAATAATATTAATTCAATAATAAACTTTAAAAAAATAAATAAATAATTAATTAATTTCTTCAGAATAATAAAATGAAAAAATGAATGACATAAACGTTAGTGATGAAAGATTGAGAAACTCTGACGTAAAATGAAATTCGTCTCACCCGAAATAATAATTCCCTGACCCCATTCTACTTTTTATCTTACACATATAAAATACGCTCACACAGTGACGTATTTTTATCAAGGAATCGTAATTTGTAACAGTAGCAAAACGCAATGGCGATACAATGGCACTTAAAGGATGTAATTGCGCCGGCTGTGGTGGCGGTAAGACGGGGATGATGTTGAACAATGGAAACAACCCTACTCGACTATACTACTACTACTACTACTACACACACACAAATCTACATAGACGTTACCATCTCGATTTCGTTTCTATCGAATTCTCGGGAGCCGCGAAACTCTATCGAAGCTTTGACTAAGAGTGGCCACTTCACGATCGACGTATTGTCACCATTGTTTTGAGGTAACAAAACAGAAAATGTGCTCCATACGCGTACGGCATTCTAGTCAATTAGCGAACACACTGGACAAACGGGGGGTTGGTTTTAGGTGATCGCTAGTCTGCCGCGTTGTCTCAACCACCCCTTTTAACCCTTAACCCCCACTCTTATTTCAAATCGTCACTATGTTACATAAGATTCCTATGTTTTTTTTTTTCCTTAACCCATAATTTATTTAAGCATCAAATATTATAATGCATCTATTTACAATAATATAATTAAATTAAATTAAGATTATATATATATAAATTATTTCAATAGTTTGTTTTTTAAGATATCAAATTGTAGTGACTTTTGGATAAGAAAGCAAAGCAAAGCAAAGAGCAAAAAGCAAATGTAAAAGAAATTGAAATTCTACCCTCTAAATATTGTATGGAGAGAAAGGAAGGGAATATTTGCACGTGCCACGGTTCATGTCGAATATATATAGGTATATATATATCCGTGAGTTTCGTGCGAGGAATTTAATAAAGTAAAAGGTTTCGCGCTTAGGTTCTTGCTATGCTAAGCGTTTTTCAGATAACCTAGCTCAACGAAGAATGAAGGTGGGTACACACCGAATACGCCATTTACGACCACCATTGCCACCAAATACTGTCACCACCCTCGAGAAAAACGGTCCACTTTCTCGAATCACCCCTAACGCCTACCCCTAACATCCCCCCTCTCTCTCTCTCTCTCTCTCTTTCTCTTTCTACGTTCTTAGTCGAAGGGTATATGGACGCAAGGCTTTTTCAAGTTCCAACCGGGCTCCTGTAAAATGCCCTACCATTGTTGTCTACCGTCGATTCGGCCCATTATGTCTACTTGCCCGATGGGAACAGATTATGTTGCTCGCTGTCATTGAGGGGCTCATCACCGTACATGACACTGATGCTCTATTCCTCTCTTTCTCTTTCTTTTTATCTATATCAAGCTTGGGGGTCGGAAGAGTAGATCAACGAGGACCTATACTCATTGTCCGAATAAATTATATCGGTCGATCACTCCAAATAGAACCCCCTCCAATGAACGCGTTACCATCGAGATTCACTTCAAGCCTCTTATTTGATCGTCTCACAACTATTATTTGTTATATTAATGTTTATATATAATTCGGTTGTCTTGTTTAACTTTAGGATGATTTATTTGTAAAAAAAAAAACGTTAAAAATAAATAAAATAAAAAAAATAAAATATCTTTTAATATATAAATCCATAGAGTATTAGAAATACTTGGTCGAATTGATAGATCAAAATAGAAAAGATTTGAACGCAACCCGATAGTTTGCTCTTTGAAAGACGATAAAAAAGTTCACGTGTGTGTATTGAAATAGACAATCTCTCTGGATCCCCTTTTTTAAAAAGAAGGTACAACCTATGCCTTAAGACCACACGAACGAGTCCTCTGACAATGGCTGACTTCGTAAGGCAAAAATCAGAAAGTTAGGGAGCACCACCACATTACTCGTCTCAAAACCAAGAGGAAAAAGGGACCAAGCTGTCTCATTTTATCTTTGTCTCACTTTCTCTCTTTCTAACTTTTGCACTTATACCATCAAAGAGGGATGCGCAGCTGTCATCAGCGTACGTGCAACGATTGGCTGTTAACCGTCGACGGCCATGCTGGATTTTTCCGGTCTGCCTTCTTCTTACAATGGGTAGATATCCGACCTTGAGAAAAATACACAAAAAAAAAATATACTAAACTTGTACTATACTTCCTAATTTCTTGTATCTCCTTCCTAAAAATATTGTCATCGTTTGTGGAATTAATTTAAACGGTACATGTACTTTCTTCGTTAATTGCAATATCCAAAACATCCTAGTATATATGTGCCTGTGTGAATTTTTAATATTACAAATTGTATTATTTGATTATTTCACTTTAGACTTAGAATCGACTGTACGTGACACGAAGGATTATTATGGACTTTAGGTATGGTCCTTGTTAAAAGGAAAAAAAGAAAAATAAAGATAAATCATATATGCGTAACGCGTCTGTTATTGAAAGAAATCCACCACTCATAATCGTTAATGCCATTTTGTTATGAACCAGTATATGAACGTACGTACATCAGGGTGAAGGAAGAGGAAGGATTGCACGGGATTTGATGCCGCGTGTCACCAACCCTTAGGATTAGACGCAATTATTGGAATCACTCTTTGGCAAACCACAACCCGTTTCACACGCTTATAATTCTTCTTCAAAGCATACTATACGCGTATTTAGAAACATTACCAAAAGATTAACAATTAATTCGAGAAAAGTCGTTATTAAAAAGTCGCGATAAAAATATGATTTGAAAAATAATAGATTAAGGTGATTCATAAATGATGTACAATTAATTTCGAATATTCATTTTTAAAGAGAGAACAATTTCCAAGATACATTTCCATGATGTAATAAGCTAAACACATCGAAATAAATGAGTAGTTATGAGTGTGAAAATCAGGTGAAAATTGAACTGATTATTCTATCAAACTAAATAGTTTGAATGTGTTGTTCTAGCTCTGTGAATTTCAGTTGGCGAAAGAGAAACATTAGGAAAAGGTTTTATGTGAAAAATCCACTCTCTTTCTCCGTAGCACCTTCTTAGATCAAGAAACGTGACACTCCGGATTGCCAAGTGATAGTAGGATTACGAAACGACCTCGCTTTGGAAAATACTTCGGCACGTTCGAAAGCTATACCAATATGTCTACATGTATATGTGTCTCGTATCAAGTAAGTATAATTAAGAGCACAAAGCGTGCAAGTAATTTTCTATCCACTTTCGTAAAACTCTCGACGAATCGACTGCAATTTAATTCATCTGACCTGTTCCATTTTAGTTGTCTTTTTATTCTTCTTTCTTTCTCTCCTATCGCTAGTTTTTATTTTATTTTAAACTATATTAAGTAATAGAAATGTATAGAAAAATAAAATCAAAATGTCAGGTTTCATAATTGCTTAAAAGATAAAAAATTGTAGAAATGTGTGTGTGTGTGTGTGTAATGAAATTACATATTGCGCATACGTAAAGCATTTGTGTAAAATGAAATAATAAATTGTGAATTTTAATTTATTATTATAAAAATAATAAAAATGTCACAAGCGTGTAGAGAAAGTGAACAGAAAGGCATATAAACACACATATATGTATACGGGTGGTGTCAGTACCTAACCGCTCGTCACATGCGGCCCCTTTAGGTGGTAAGGCTTGGGTTTTGGCTTGCTATAACTCCGATAATTATGTTACCAATGCGTCGAAGGACAAAGGACTCTTGAGTGACGTGGATGGCTCGCTAGCTCGCGAAAAGGACCTAGAAGAGAGAGAGAGAGAGAGAGAGAGAGAAAGAGAAAGAAAGATGCATGCCTGGTAGTCCAGCTGCCGGTAATCCTCCCTTTGTAATTTGCCTCTATGACCCCCTCCCTCCCCCCATCTCATACTACCAATGGCGCCATTTACTTTTTTTTTTCTATTTGCGTTCTCCCTTTTTCCCTAACCTTAACAAAATAAAACGTAGAATGAAAATTATTATTCGAAATATTCGTCTAAACAAATTTTTATTTTGTTTATAAAAAAAAAAAGAAAAAAAAAGATGTAATTCGATGTGGATTTAATAAAATTGTGAACAAACATTATATAATAATTATTATTAGAGATTAAATAAATGTTGTTAACTATGAAGAACGTTTTTTAAATTTATACAAAAAAAAAAAAAAGAAGAAAAATGATTAGATCGAGTAAAGGAAATAAATGACAAATGAAGAATAAGGGGGGAAAAAAGAAATAAGGTTTGTCCTACGCCAGTGAAAAGGGCGGTTGATGTCACCGTGGCCGTGCCCTCCGGATAATAGAGTCCGCGACTTTAATGGACTCGCTAATCCTCTTCCCTGTTTGTCGGTGAGGGATGCATCAAGGGATGCATTGAAGAAGGGATGCACACGAAGGTAAAAATCGGGGCGGGGTGGTGTGACTGCACGCCGTCCGTTTTCGGGCGTGTGCTAGCTAAAGGAAGAGGAAGAAGAAACGCACACACACACACACACATATATGTATATACACATAGGTTAAGCTAGCTAAGCCAGCCAGCCCAGTCAGCCGAATTGTAATGGGGAGGGGTAAATGGAAAGAAGGGCATAGCCTGGTCGTACGCAAAATACGCCCCTCTTTTGCGGTGCTCGCGATGATACCTTGATTCCTCGAGTGACGAATTAAGAGACCCTTCCCTTCCACCCAAACTTATAATTCGAGCTAGGATACGAGAGCACCTGTGTTCGTTCAACCACGTCTATTAGTCATTCCTTAAAGATATTATTTGTGATACCCCATAAACGTTACATTCATCCAACATACAATGACATCAAATTCATTGAAGTTTTTATTAAATTATTATATTTATAAAAAATTCTCAAAATATGTTAATTAATATTTCGAAAATTCGTACAGATTTATTTTATGGTAAAAATATTAATCGGTACGAATCTTCAAGATTATCCAGTATATGTTTATTTCGATGCATTTGGGGAGAAATGGATTATGGAAACAATAAAATAAAAGGACAATAAATCATACTACCTATAAAATTCCAAATCGTTTTTACCTTTTTAATGAGCGTGATAAAGATGACAATGAATTGATGATTAAACATTTGAACCTCCCTTCTAATAGCACATTCCTTGAAAGATCGTAATTTATTTGTTTAATGAAAATTGATAGCATGCATGAAGAAAAGCTATTGAAAATAGAAGAAAGAAGGATACAAATTTTGGATAATCCTTTGTTAAGAATTAACCTTGTCGACCATGTGGAATGGCATTAGGTAATCCAGCTTGGATTTGCAATAATTGTCGAAGCTCCGAGGGTAATTGTTTTGAGTATTGTGGTTGTGGTTGTGCCTGTGGCTGATAATTACCCTGAAGTGGGCCAGGTTGGTATTGAGGACGAGCCTGAGGTGCTTGGGCAGCACCTGCGGGTGGTCTGTATTGTGCTGGAGCTACCGGAATTTGTTTGTAAGATGGTTGCTGTGGTGCCGAACCTAGTCGAACTTCTGGCCTATAGGAAGCCACTTGAGCTTGGCTCTGATAAACTGGCTCTTGTCTGGGTCCATTTGCTAATTGTGGTGGTGGTTGTGAGGGAATGTGTACCAAAGGATTACGAAGTTGTTGGGATGCTAAAAGTTGTTTTATTTGTGCTGGTGCTTGAGAATACGGCCTATAGCTGATCTGTTGTTGTTGCTGTGCATGAGTTTGTCTCTTGTCTCGAATATGATCTAAGAATGAAATATTTTTCTTTTAACTGGAATAGTTGGTGCCATATCAAAATGTTTGGTGATTGTTTTTAGTTTCTTACCAACTAGATACAATTCTTCACCGAGCAGATCACCGAGGACATCGGCGGTTACGTAAATAGGACAGATTACGAGTAAAAATATCTACAAGTAGAAAGTTAACGATATACATTCGTCAAACAAAATAACATATAAAATAATAATCTAATAAAAACATAAACACAAATCTAATAAGATCTAATCGTATCATTGAATGAGATCTACAAAGCAAGCTTACACATAAAAAAAAATTAATTACCAGCAATCTAATTCATATGTTAGATACGAGAGTAACCGGACGTAGTTCGATCACGGAAATGAACGATACTCAAACGATACTCAAACGATACTCAAACGATATTCGCGAAAGGGTTAATTGACCGAACGAAGAAAAGATAAACGATCGTGAATATCTCGATGAGAAAATACTTTCACCGTGTTCGAGAAGGAAAGTATTATGGGATTTGCTTGAGCGAGTTAGAAATAGAAGATTGAAGAATTAAATTGAACACAAATTTGAAAGGATAGATAGATAGAACGGAAAGAAAACTTACGAGGAAATTCATGGTGAACTTGATGATTTCTTATACACTCGTATGATCTTAAAGTATTGGCGATTTAGTAAAGAACGTGTCGTGTGTCGTGAAATAAACTGCGAACTCCTTGCCGACTCACTTCTATATGGGCTAGCACCTGGTTTGCAGGATAACCACCGAGCAATAGGCCAACCAACCAACCAACCAACCACCACCAGCTTTCACGGTTCGTCGATTCAGAAGGTGGCATTTTTTCTTTTCTTTCTTTCTATCAAGATTTTCGAACTTCTAGTATAGGTAAAGCAAAGTAAGTTACTTACATGCATAGGTAACCCCACACCCAACTGGAATCACGTAACTTGGATGTGGATCAAGTCAGGAAGTGATCGGGCGCCGGGCACGCAACTGCAACAGAAAATTTTCTTATGTGAAAGATCATTTTAACTATCTCTCTCTCTCTCTCTCTCTCTCCCTCTCTCTCCCTCTTTCTTTATTTATTCCTATCTTTCTATTTCACTTCTTTTTATTGCGTAGGTATGCGTGTATGTAGGTTCACGACCGAGTTGTGTGGCAAAAGAAACATTTCGAGACTGGACTAGATAGGAAGCGTTTCACGTTCACAAAGAAAAAGAGTGAAAGAGAGAAAGAGAGAAGGAAAAGTGACCGTTGCAAACTCTTGCAAACTTAAACACGATACTAGAAACCTATCGATTACGATCTATCTTTCTATAACATTATAAAAGAGAAGATAAGGAAATTTAAAAATATATATTTAAATAATTTATTATAATCACCTTTTTCATATGAGTTGTATATATGATACTTTTTTAATAAAAAGAACAATTTAACGTTCATAGCTAATTATTAGAATTATTATTAACGTTTTAACGTAATTGTATCCTTAATAATGTTATTGTCACATAAACGTAATCAATCTTATCTGTTCATTAAACAAAAAGAAAACAATCAAAATATATAACTTAATCAAAGTTAAGTCATTACAGTTAACTATTTGCAATACTCATTTTTTCAATTTTTTTAATAACCCGAACCAGTTTAGATAATCTTACAGAGTCGCGTGAAAGTTTATATTAAATTCCTAAATATTAACAAACGATTAACCATACGTAATCATAAGCCAATACTACTTTTAGCAATTAAATATAATCTTGGTACGCAAATAAATCGAAATATTAACTAATATATATAACGTTTGGTTCTCTGTAGCATGATTCAAACGTTATAGATCAATCGATCTATTTTTTATCTTACAATATTTTAATAATCATTGCAAATCATTATTATTTATCTAACCGGTTTATTTGAACGAGACATTTGGTGTCTCTCAAAAATATTCTTACAGGATCTCTGCTGACATAATTCCATCGACAAATATCTAACGTTAAGTGACTGTACAAACGTGAAATAAAAGTAATAATAATAATAATAATAATAATAATAATAATAAAAAATGAACGAGACAGTCGACATAGATTGTAATCTTTATCTCGGAATTTATTTGCAAATAAATTTTTATAGAAATGATCAACTTCGATATTACGATAACGATCCAAATCGAAAGTATATAACATTGTGAACGATTATGCGACTCGAATCTGCACTTTTTATAAGATAATAAATCATCGAGTTAATTAAAAATTCAAGGAAAAATATGTCTTTTTACGTATGAACACATTGTGTTCGCAAATGAAAATAAGAATAAAATAAAACGGAAGGATATCGAACAATCGTGTCCACCATTAACGCATATGAACACGTGATACGTGTCATTTAAAGTATTTTTTTATTTTATTTAAAAACGTGAGTAATATAATAATCAAAATATATATTAATATTAAAAAAAGAAAAAACAAATGATGCACACACAATTACTCTCGTAATCAAAATACTCATACATTTCCTACTACTGTCCCTTTGATTTGCGATGAAAATTAAATAGAAAAAAAAGAATAGAAATAGAGATAGAAGAAACATTTTTTTTTTTATATAACTCAAAAGTTACCCTAATAATAACAATAATAATAATAATACTAATACTAATAATAATAATTATTATAAAAATAATAAATTATACTGTGATTGATAACATTGAGAATCATTAACGACATACGAACTTCCATTGTTTTTTAATTAATAATAAAGAAAAAAGTAGATCAAAAATTACTAGAAAAAAAAAAAAAAAAAAAAAAAAAAAAAAAACAACAAAAAAGAGGAAAAACGTAAAGACAGAAGAAAAAAAAATCAATCAATCGACTCTTCTTGTTTTTTTTTTTAAACAAACTATTACAATAATTTCTCACAGACGTTCCATTCAGTACTGATTTTCAGTAACAGGACGAACTCCTTGTCCCTGATTATATCCAGCTTGTTCTTGAGGATATCCCTGATATGGGTTTATGTGTGCTTGGGTGTACGTGCTGGCTTGACTTTGATAGGTATCACCTTGGCCTTGATATTCAGCAGCTTGGGCTGGAGCACTGGGTTGTTGTTGAATCGGTTGCGGTATGTAAGGTTTATCGGGTACATATCTAATTTGATTTGCAATTATGTTGTAGGGTATTTGTGCTTGATATTTCAAAAGGGCTTGCAAATTATTCGGTAAATTGGTGGAGTATTGGGGAGCAGGTTCGACTGGTGGTTGAGATAGTCTTTGATATTGTGGTTGTTGAGCTGGTTGTTGAGCTGGTTGTTGTTGGCGAGCTTGATGTTGAGGATGTTGAGGTGCTTGTCTTCGATGTCTGGATGGTCCACGGGGTTTCGATCCACGATATTCTGGTTTTGCCGATTGTTCTTGTTGATAATTGGATTGAACTTGCTGAGCTTGGGCCTGGGCAGCTGCCAAATGATCATATCTGAAATGAAAAAATACATTTTCAGTTGAATTTAGTTAAACTGTTTGATTAAATAGAACGTTCATGGTATACCTGAATTGTTCAGGAATTGCATTGATATATGGAATTTGTGCTTGGAATTGAAGCAATTGTTTGATCTGAGCTGGTGCATCATTGTAAGGCCTGTAAGATGGTTGGTTAATTGGTGGGTGAACTGGAGCATGGTGTTGAGGAGGTGGTGGTGCTGCTCGTTGGGGAGCTGGCAATGCTGTTTGCTCAGCGTAATGAGGTTCTGCTTGTGGTTGACGTAATCTTGATTGTCGGTCGTGACCATAAGATTTCCAATTTACTCTCAAACCTATGTGGACAAAAATTCAATTGATTTTTCTAACAATTCTTCTATAAGGTGAACAAAATTGATAAAAAATTGTCTGTCTATACCACTGGGGTCGTTATATTGAAGAGATTTAGATTGAGCTGCCTGATTGGCGTCATATGGTCCTCTAATAACCGACTGACTGTGTCCATCTGTAGGTGGCTGGACGTTGAACGTCGAAATCGCACCTTGAGATGGCCCTTGGATTTGGAAATTTGAGTGTCCGTCAGTTGCTCCTTGGATGTGGAAATTCGAATTACCATCTGTTGCTCCTTGGATAGTAAAATCTCCTGCTCCTAAGGATTCTATAAATAATCAATGAATTTATTATAATACATAATTTATTCTTTTCAATAAAATGATCATTTATTTCAAATTAATATAGAGAAATATAGAAACGCTAAAAATAGAATAATAGTTACCACTCTGGTCAGTATATTCAATCCCTTTCTCCTCACTATACTTGAGACCTTGAGATACTCGATTCCCGTCGCTGGCTCCCTGAATTGTAAATTGTGCCAGGCATACCGGAAGGGCGGTCAGTAACAAAACCTGTTCGAACCCAAGATAAAAATCGATTGAAAATCTTCAAATAATTTCAATGATTATAAATTTCATCTCAAATATATATTTCATATTATCATATTCGTTCGTTCAATCTAATGTCAATTGTAATCGATTATCTAACTCTGAGTTTATAAAAAGGAAAAAGTAATGGAAAAAAAAGTTGATCGGCTGATTACGCTTATGCCGGTTTAACATGAGAGTTACGTTGTACGGCAGCTATGGCTGTAAGCATGGTCTCCTTTCTCGTCGTCGTCGTCGTCGTCGTCGAGGGAAAGTTTGAAGTCGAGTGTAAGTCGTCACAACTTCTGCTTAGTTTTAATATTAGCCAAGAAAAAGGAGCCAAGGAAAAGATTGCTATACCTTATCGAGGTATTATAAAACTAGCGTGAGAATAAGATAAAATTACAAAAAAAAAAAAATGATAACGAACGTAAGTATTAATCTCGAAATCGTGGACATTTATCACAGGTATTAGCAACGTGTTTAATCGTTCGACTAGAAAGTTAAATATAAATTGTTTCGATAGAGACACACCTAACTTATGATTAGACGATAAAAAAAAGAAATAAAGAAAACACCCCATGACAATTTTCTTGTTTTTTTTTTTTTTTCATAAAATACATAGTTATGAAACTTTTTTTGCTCGCTAAACGTTTATGAATATTAATGACTGAAAGAAAATTCATTTATAGAGGGAAAAGGGGTACTAAGGTATTTTCTTATCCCAATAAACCTGAATTTTGAACGTAACTATATTATATTATTTATATTCAATAATATTATATAATTATTGCTATGTAATAATATTTAATAAATTTCTACATTGAAAGATTAAATTAAATGTAATTTAAATTGAAATATAACTTACACAGAGAGGAAATTGCAAGTCCTTAATTTCCAAGAATACAATACTAACATAAACACATACGTATACACACTATTTCAAAAAATCAATTAAAAGAGAAAAACTGAAAAGATCTCACCAGGTATATTATAATAATTACTCAATTATTATAACACACAATTACATCCAACGAGTAAAGTCAAACAAAATAAAGAAACAACAAACTCTCAATTTGTTGAACATTTTTCAAACCAAATTGAATTAACTTGTAATAATATAATAATCGTCTAATTATTAATGTAATTGCATAGAGAAAAGAAAAAAAAGAAAATGATAGAAAATTATAAACTCTCGCATTTTCTTCGCATATTAACGTGAATCAAATTAATGAGTCAACGAAAAAACAAACAAAAATTAGAAGAAAATGAATGGGGAAGTAAGAAATAAGAAAGCTGAATTTGTGGATGATTAAATGTATATAGAATAAATGATACAAATTAGCGATTAATTACTTACGTGTAATTTCATGGTGCAGAAGAAGAAAACAATGTGGTGTGTCTATGCGTTGAAAAGGGTGGAGTGTTTCTGAAGCGGGCGCGCGGTCACCAGAAGAATTTTATACCCGGGTGAATGTAAAAGGGGGCCGAGCATGAACTCACTCCAATCGGGGGGATGTGTGTGATTCTCCACCTCCATTTTGCCCATTTTATCGTATACGCGACTTCCCAGTCAGCATTCGAGATATCGATTACAATTTCCTGCGTCAATGTCCTCGATCAAGCTTTAGCAACATTGAAAACAAATCAACTACGACAAAATTCAAATAATAATAAAAATCAAATCAGAGTGGTAACTACTTTTGAAATATATTTTATTACTTTTTTTTTTTTTTGTAAATAAATATGCAACTTTCTTCCGCATGATAAATATTTAATCAAACTGTGTGTTGTAATTTATCTTACGGATTAGATATTTTAATGGAATAATTAAATAAATCGACATATTTTTCATTTTTGACATATGTGCTTCGTTTCTTTTTATTTTTTATTTTTTTTTTTTTTGAAGAAGGAAATTTTCTTCCGTGAAATGGATTATCAAATTTTACAGATTATTATCCAATTAAATTACTAGTTTTTTTTATGCAACAAAAAATTAAATATTTGCACGCAAGTTACTGCACACGTTCAATTTTTTTTCTAATGTATTTTTGAAAGTTAACAAAAATTGGGAAAAATATTGTTTTCTTTTTTTTATAACACGTTCTGTTCTGTTAATTTTTCTTACAATTAAACTCGTTGGTCCCTTTTTTTTAGTTTTTTTTTCTTTTTTTCCAATAGTAACTCGTTAAAAGAGGCTTATGCGATATAGTTGTACACGGTGAAAGTTTCTTCTATGCAGTTCGAAAGTTTCCATTCTAAGGTAATCTCATTTTACGATTTGTGCTCGAATAAAATTAAAACTAAGTAAAATAGAAAAAAGACAAACATTTTCAAAGTAGCATCGAAGTTTTTTCTTTTGTTTTTTTTTGTTTTTTTTTGAAATCGATTAAAGTATCGATAAGAATTATAAATGTTAGAGAAATAAAGGTGATAGTAGAGAGTAGATAAAGTTGCAATAAAATCATCGTGGAATGTCGTGTAGATGCTAGTTTCCCATACGATTCAAAGGTTACAATGCATAATGATGCATAAGATGCATCTATAAAAATACAGTTTGTTGTGTCAACATCGAATTCAATTTTATATAAGCTTCGTGATCGGGGAAAGTAGTCATTTTATTTATATTTCTTTGTAAACATTAATTTTATTACAAGCACATGGTCATTGATTGTTTATTAATTTCAATTGAAAAAGGAAATAAATAAATAGAAGAGATCAAAATAATTCAATTAATTTTCTTCATTGATCTGAAATTCATTTAAATCAAACATTAATTTATTTTTTTAAATTCGACTTTTTGTTAACAAAAAATTCCGTTAATATAGAAAATAGAAAAAGATATTTTATTACAGACAACTAATATAAAATAATATAACATAAAAGTTGAGTGCATAAATGTTGAACTTTTTGAATAGAAAAACATGGAAAGCGTATCTTTGACAAATAATTATTATTATACATTTCGTCGAGTGTATCTAATGAGCACAAAAGCCATTGGTATGTAGATAACAAGCCGAGAACAAATTATGGATCACAAGAGAGTGGCAGAAAAGTGTCGAGTATTGTTGGAGAACAGTAAAAACGAAAGTGGTAGAATTGCGTGTAAGAACCAATGGATATGGTGGTAAACTTATTTTGCGGAGACCATGAAGGCCATGCGAAAGTAGATCGATTTACATTATCTTTCATATCCGGAGAAATGTTAAACTATTAATAATATCTCCGATATTTTTATTGATTACATCACAAATAAAAATCTACATAAAAAAATAATTTTTAAAATATTTGAGAATTAAACCAAAAAAATACAAACAAGCAAACAAACAAACAAACAAACAAACATCAGCGTGAATTTGAGTAATTTTGAAAGTACATGGAAAATAACTCGAGTAATGATTAGATGATAATTAAAAGTTAATTAACGCTCTCGTAACGTCAATCATATGGTTTTTTGTGAAAGTCAAGAAAAAAAAGGGGAAGCAAGTATTCGAAAGGAATTACGCGCGCGCGAATCTCGCAAGACAACGACGAGCGGAAATAATTCGTTTATTTCTTTTTCCTTTTCCTTTTCCTTTTTTTTCTTTTTTATAATTTCTGTCAAAAAGAAAGTATAAAAAAAAAAAAAAAAAAGGAAAAAAGAAAGAAAACAATTTACACTCACATTTTCCGAGTAAAAAAGATGATACAAGGAGAGATAATTTTGTTTTATTAAAAAATATAAACTAAAAGGAAAAGAAATAATGATCGAGCGAGCTATCAAAGGATTGCTCAATGTCGTCCCGTTCGATTAAAATATGACATTAAATATGAAAATAACGAAAAAAAATATGATCATCAATGGTGTTGACTTTCTTCGACCGGTTTGGTGTTTTCAATTTCGTCTATGTTATCGTCTTTCATGTAATAAATCTTACTCTTGTAGTAATAAGATCCTTTAGAGTCGTCCGGAATCGGTTTTGGAATGAATAGGGTTTTTGGTCTGTAAGTTATTCTGTTAGCTATGACATCATAGGGTATCTGAGCTTGGTAATGTAACAACTGTTGAATCTCTTGCGGCATACTCTTGTCGATGACCAATTTAGGTGCTGGTTGAACGGGCATAGTTTCTACCGGTACAGTAATACCAATAATGTGTTGTTGTTGCTGTTCCTGTTGATGTTGAAGTTGAAGTTGAAGTTGTTCTTGTTGTTGTTGTTGTTGTTGCTGTTGCTGTTGTTGTTGAGTATTTTGAGTATGTTGATCATAGTCTTGTTTATAATCAATTCTTCCTTGTGATTTAGCTGAATCATCATTGTAATAAGAATTAGTTGAAGCAGATCTGGCGTCATCGATTGATTGATATTTCGTAGCGGGTGCTTCGTATTGGTTACGATGAGAAAAATCAGCACGCGAATTAGTTTGTTGCGTTGGTAGTAGTTCACTTTGCTGATAAATAAATGACGATGGGTCAACGTATGGACGTTGTGGTTCGTACGTTTGTAGTATCAATTCTTTAATATGTATTGGTACGGATGCATAAGACTTGTATTCCGGTTGTGTTGATACCAAATTGGATATTGGTGTTGGTTGATGAGGCTGGACCAAACGTTGTTGATGATGTTGACCCGCTGATGGGATTTGCGCTTGAGTTACCGCAGTCTCGGCTCGTTGGGTTCGTTGAGGATTCTCCAGGTGAGTGCGTTGTTGATTGTAAGGAGCGTAAAATTTCCAGTTCACTTTCGAGCCTTAAATGTAGGAAATCATTTAACATTCATAAAACTTATGGTTTGACATAATTATTAAATATTTCTTATAACACAAAATTGTTTTCAATGTTTTAGGCAAAGAATAAACTAACCACTTGGATCATCGTAGTTGATTTGTGCAGATTGAGGAGCACGAGTCAAACGAGTCGAATTATCGGTTTGAGCTAACACAGTGCTAGCCAATGTTAAAACGAATACCTAAAAAAGAGGATAGAAATAACAAATAAATTATTGGGCTAAATGAAATTGGATGAAACAAATAAAGATAATTATTTAAAAGAAAATCAAATAAGAAATATCATAGTATAAAAGTAATCACAATGTAATAAGAAAGAAACACTCACACATAGAATCATGATAGAAATCACTATAAACGATCGAATTGTACGAAAGAGAGAGGATTCTTTCCTCGGAGAGATGCACGTGGATGGAACAGTCCAAGTAAACGCGAAGGAATCAACCGATCTACGAAGACTCGGACTTCTATATAGTTTCTCCTCCCTGGGATGATATATAGATGACCAGTCTAATTGCCCGTAGCAAACCAACCAGCTACCGACTAGCTGCTTGCCTACTTTTAAAAGTCATTCCACTTTTACAAGGAGAACAGAGAAAGAGAACGAATACAACAACATACACACACAAAAACAGAAAAAAGAAAAAGGAAAGAAAATCCTCGACAATTCGCGAGAGACTACTTCTGTCGTAACTCTATTATAAAATCTCACTAGGAAGAACCCCTCCCCTCCCCCATTATACTCTGTCCTAGGACCCGTATTTTTCTCTCTTTAGATTCCCTTTCAACAAAATTAGATACTAAAATTATTATCTGACTTAAAAAGAGAACAGTTGTAAACATTAAACTATAATAATTGTTTTCGTGACTTTATCGATTTTTCCAGAAATCCGTTTGGTAAATGTTACTAACGTTCGAGATAAATGATTACACAACAAATGGTATAATTGTTCACAATACATATATAGATATATACGTATATATATATGAATTGTATGTTCTACGTCTTTAGTGTTTGTTTGTTTGTTTGTTTGTTTGTTTGTTGTGTTGTTTCAAGGAAGGGGTGTACTTTGCGAGATGAATGAATGAATTGTTTCTTTCGTTAATAGGCTCATTCATAATTTATTATACATTCGTTCAATGGAAATGATCGACGATTAAGTTCGTTTAATTATTCTTTCCTTTTTTCCTGTTCTTTTTCTTGTTCTTTTTCTTGTTCTTTTTCTTGTTCTTGTTCTTTATTGAAATTTCAAGAGAGAAATGGTGAAATAATTTCGTTTCATTTCATCCTGCACGAGAAAGTGAAATCTAAAAAGCTATATCTGTAAATTGTACAAAGGCGTAAGGCTAACTTAACCATGAAATATAAGATAATTTAATAGTTGAAAATCATTCCTAATTTGCTTGACTTAAATAAATAGATCCGGAATGGGTGAGTGTACGTGATCCGTAATGACGAAACCATATGATGAAAAAATAGGTGTGCCTGATTTTCATCGTTTCCTCTTAACTATCGATAATTACATTCGCCACTGTTGTATTTTAAACTTGAAATATTGCAAATCATTATCCCTAGTAACGCATTTGAAAGAAAAAATAAAACGTACGAATGAGGAGTCGTAAATTGTTACAAACCTCTTTCATGTTCACTCTTATTTTTTTTATTACATCCTACCCTTTCCCTTCCCCCCGCCAACCTTCCCCTCCCAACCCTATCCTGCATACACGTCTTATAACACAAAAGTTAAGAAAGATGATTCATGTCATTGGTAATTGTGAATTATTGTTATATATTCAAATGAATTTTCTTGTTAAATTAATATTTTGAGGGGATTTTATACGTAAATGGGTTGAAAAGTTTGGAACCCGACATAGAAACAGTTTTTTTTATACTACGTTGAGGGTCGTTTGTTATTTTCTTGTGTATATATATATATAAAGAAGGAATAACATTAATATCTGTTGAAATAATTCAATCTACAATGAGATCACTCTCCTCTCTCTCTCTCTTTCCCAATAGTAATTTTAAATAATTAATTAAATGAAATATTACTCAAGATATATATTAAATGAAACAAGGGGGTTAGCTATTGAAATCGGACGTAAGTAATAATCGTATATTTCAAGGAAACGATTCCTTTATTCCTTATCTCGAGTACGTTCATATCCGTGACGCAAATTCTTCCTTTCTCCGTATATACAACGTGCTTCCGCTTTCTACAAGTGAAAAATGTAAATAATCCAAACTAGATAATTATAATATATCACGCGATTATTATACAATAATAATGTTTTCTATTCAAACAAATAAAACCGATTTAAAAAATTACATTTATAAATTTATTTTGCGAACAACCCCCTTTATAGTCCCAGTATCAAAGTGTGTAACGAACATAAAATAAGAGAATAAATCAATGAAAATCGATTCTTAGAAACGAGGATGAGACAAACTAAAAGATTAAGCGTTCATGCTCGTGCTTAAAGGATTCTTCAAGATCGGCCATGAACTTTCACGCTACACCGAGCACGACGCTATCAAAATCATATATCTCTTTGTATGGTTTCTTTTACAGCCTGTTATTGTGGAAAGCTGATAATCCGCATTTTCATGAGAACCGTCAATACCACGGAAACATAATATATTTCCGATAGAACCGCGTGAAATTGCTCAGTCGAAAAAAAACAAGAAAAAAAGGAATATTTTACGAGAGAACGTGTACCGGTGAAAGTCTGATTGTGAATATTCCACCAGCCATGGAATAAATAGCATAATTTAGTATGTTATTACATTCTAAAAAGTAAGTTTAATAACTTGCTATCCTTTAATAGTATGAGAAATAAGGATGAATTTTTGTATTCGTTGAGCTTACGTCTAATCGTAAATCCATCTTACAATTAGTTTCATCATTCTTGTAATCTCTTAAAGGATACTTACCGTAAGATTAATTTAAAAGATTGAGATCGATACTTTGATTTCGCCACGATTAGAGGATACGCCATACGAGGAGAATGTACTTACGCAAACGTTCCATTTCGAGATACATCTCATTCATATATATATATGTATAAAAAAAAGGTTTCTTTCCTGCATACTGATTCTAAGCTTGTTTGAACAAAATATTCAACAGATTCCTACTTTATCTTCTCATAACGTTCAATAGATTTCTACTATTTCAATCGATGGTTAAGAATTATTACGTTATCGTTAATCGGTATTGAGGAAAGTTGTGTATTTTTGTTACCCATGACGAAAAAATGCAATTGCAAAATTGTGATGCACTCTCGGTGCATCGTCGAAGGGGCAGGAGATGCAAAGTGCAAGTTGGCGAACGCGAGGGCGAGCATCAAGGTCTTTTAGGGGTACGAGATCCGATCTGCTATATAAAACGACGAGATCACCTATTCTGCGATCATTCTTATTCTTCTCTCCTTCCTTCAATGTTTCAACATGTTCGTTGTTCAAACTCTCGTAAGTTACTTCCTACATATTATACTACATATTATTAAAAAAAAAAACAAAAAAAAAAATTTTTATTGTAATAAATTATTCATTTTTTTTAATCCTTTCGAGACTACGATTTTTTTCGAACACGGTTCAAGAAGCCATTTCTTTTTTTTTATTATATTGCCAATTTACAATGCTAAATTTTGTTTTTCTATATTTTAAAAATACTATTTATACAAAAAAAGGTTTATTTCGACGAATATATAACTCAAAATAACTAATAATAGCTGCACACACGGTGTGCAAGTGGTCTCGAATGGATTAAGATATTAAAAAACAAATATATATATTTAAAAAATGTCTTTTTTCTTTTAATTGCTTGTAGATATCATTGATATATTTTGCCGTATTGACAACTTGTCAATATCAGCGCGAGCACCAACAAGCAGCGATCTTAAGCGATGCGAGATATTTATCAGGTGATGGCACTTTTGGTGCAGCCTACACTCAAGAAGATGGTGTGGAGTTTAAGGAAGAAAGTGACGTTAACGGTGATCGTCGTGGATCCTATTCTTACGTGGATCCAACTGGCCAAAGGCGTACAGTAACTTACACAGCTGGAAAGAATGGTTTTCAGGTAAGACCCTACGATTAAATATTAAAACAAACAAACAAACAAACAAAATGAATTCAAATGTTATGCATTATTATTTGGGAATAGGCAAGTGGTGATCACATTCCCGTACCACCACAACAAATACCACCGCAACCCGAGTACGTGCCATTACCAGAGTATAATCCTCCTGACTATAAACCACCAGCAGCACAAGTACCAGCTTATAGGACTCCTCCACCCCCACCAGTTTATAGGCCAGCTCCTCCAGCCCAGTATCAAACACGAGCTGAACCGGAATACGATCCACGAGCCGTCTATCAAGCCCAACCCCAACCCCAATATCAATATCGTCCACAGGCACGATACACATCACCGGAAATCCAATCTATACCCTCGTTTAGCCCCCGACCACAGTATCAACCTACACCAGGAGCACCTATTCAAAGATACAACGAAATTACAACCCCACCATCACCGCACAGATTCTATCCGCCCGGTAAACTTAATTTCAACAGGACACCCGATGGATTTTCTTACACCTTTAGCAAAAGTTAAAGATCAAACAATTGTAATTATAAATACTAACCATAAGTATAATACTTCATAGTTTTATTATGCACAAACATATCGTAGAATCAGTCGAGTGCAACAACGACCTTGTCCATGATCTTAACTGATTAAGAAAAATACATTACCAACAATTTATATAATCTACTTATTTCCACACGGTTCTTTTCTTTTTTTTTTTCTTTTTGCATTCTTGAGAATCAATTTGAAAAGAATAAAACATATCGAATATCTCGCGTAACTTTTGACTTTTTTTGTAATCTTCAAGACCACGCCCGTATTTCCTAGGATTACCATTCTCTCATCAGGTCAAACTCACTTTCATCCTGTAACCTTTTACCAAGATGTTGTAATGAACTACTTACACTCCTGGGAACTTTCTGATCCTAACGCGTTTATGTTCATCTACGAACACATTACTATCGTGCACGATATATCACGATGTTTGTCCGACATTCCTAATTCAAATGCTATTAACTAAATCACATGGTACTTTATACAAAAATGTAGTATTATGTAATATTTTAGATTGAAGAGATTAAATTTGGAACGTTATTAAATAAAAATGAATTCTATTAAGACATCTAAACTTTGAACATTATGAAAGATAAACGATTCTAATCTTGTTTTAATATCTAATTTCACTTATCATGATTGAACATAGATCAAGTAAAGGACACATAAGAGGCACCGTTAGAAGCTTGCGGAAGAAAAGTGAGAGATCGTTTGTCTCGTTACAACAGACTCGTGAATAATAATCACGGTCGCGTTTAACATATAGTGCATTAGGTGCAAATCTCGGAAGAATTGAAAACTTTCTTATGGGGGGATCACATTTTTAAACTTACTAAATGTATATTAAATGAAAATTAATTAAATAAATAAATTAATAAATAAATTAAACCCAAAATGATGTTGGGTGTGTAGGGTGTTTATAAAAATATAAATGTGAAACCTACAAGAAATAAAAGGAGTGTTATAATGACGAAGAGATTGGAAGAATATTGAAGTACTTATGACAAGACGACAAGAGGGGTGCGGCTTATGGGCAAGGTGAACCACCTCCTTCAGAGAAACAGGAACTCGGTAGTTCTCAGTTAGGTGGGCCGTAAAAAAATGCATACCATAACAACGCATACGAAGAACGTGTACGTTCGTTCGTTCGTTCGTTCGTTCGTTTGTTCGTTTGTTCGTTTGTTCGTTGTCACGTTGCAAATCGTCGTGGGATTTTTTTCATTTTACTTATTAAACATTCTTTTTCTTTTACTACTTACAAGCATCGTTCGTCGTCCTTGCGAACAAGGAGCTTTGCTGAAAAACAAAGATAACAAAAAGAAAAAAAAAGTATTTCACGTTATTTTTATTCGCGTTTTATTTATAAAGGTATATTTGAGAGTATACATTTCGTGTCGTTCGTCATCGATTATGGCAGTCATTTTAATTATACCTGAATCCTGCATTATTTAGCTGCGCGTGACATTGACGATATAAAAAAAAGATGTATTCCTAGGAGACAACTGCTATTTTTTGTTATTTCTTCCATTTTAAGAGGCAACGATGCATAGATGAAATTCACAGTTATTCTTTCTCTGTTATTAAGACAAAATTTAAAATAAAAATTTGAAATAATAATTATTAAAAAAAAAAAAAAAAAAAAACGAAAGAAAATTAAGTAAGATATAAAAAAGTTAGTTTAATAAAAGAAAAGAAAAAAGTAATATTCCAAAATAGAAAGAGAGAGATATAAAATAAATTTAAATACAATAATTCTTACATATAAACAGAAATTTGTTACTACAGTAGTAAAAAAACACTTTATACGTATTTAAGTATAAAGTATTTTTTTTATAAATTTTTAAGTATTTAATAATTCTACATCAGATCATACGGTTCCGTATTTAATGTTTTGTGTTTTCTTCAACGAATAACAATGAATACCTTTTAATCATTTAAGATAATTTTAGGCACAGTATATGCACATTCGTCGAAGAATGAAATAAAACAAATTCAGGAGGTATAATCATATTTCAATATTATAAAACATTTGTTTTATATATATATCGAATGATTAATAATCATTAATTTTAACCATTGCGAAATTTATATTTACTTTCCAAATGAATTATAATATAAAAAGAAAAAAACTTCCAAAGAGAAGGAAAAAAAAAATACCCATCAAATAAAATCTTTCGAAAAAGATAAATTGAGAAAGGTAGAAACTATTAAATTATTGTCCTCGTGACAAGATTTCATTTATTATTTCTCTTTAGATGTAAGAATTATGCTTATAAATTATTTCATATTTATGGACCAATGATGGCAAATCCCATAATTCACGGAGGAAAGTAAACGAAAGTATTTACGACCCGTAAATATTCTCTAATTTTAACTAACTCGGCTTTAACTATTATTAATGATTATTATTACGAAATAAATTTGTAATAAATGAATGGGTTGAAAAAGCTAATATAGAAACAAAAGTTTCGTTATTGTTACGAAGACTTAAAACTTTTCAATCCACTCACATATTTATTTGCCAAACAGAACAAATTGTTTATAAAAAAAAAAAAAAAAAAAAGTACTAAATTATTATCGCTAAATTGTTAAAAATTAGAACGATTTTGATTGTTATTACTCGACTCTTTATACATTAAAAACAGAATTAAAAAAAGAAAAATAAGAAAGATTCGCCATCTATGCATTAGATAAAATTTGAAGATCGAATAAAAACTACAATTTTGTATAAAGTACGATTTATACCCTTTTGTGTTAAACTACTAACAATTGAAGTTTCAACTTGTTCTGTATTCTATTATTAAGTACACGATCATGTAAGCCGTTTATCTCAGGATTTAACTACAATTAAAGTCATTAAACAATAGGATAAAAAAACAATCATATAAATATTATCATACTATTCTCACACAAGCTTCCTTCGTAATAACTCGGACACATGTGATCAAGATAGAACTTATTTGAAAAAAATAAAACAAATATTTATGATCTCCGAAAATTGATCGGAAATGCCAATTCGTAGAAGTAACAATTAAGCAAATAAAAAAATTAAAGGTAAAAATTATTTAGGACATACAAGAAAATTTATTAAGATTAAAAAGAAAAAATTTTCTAAAATGAAAAAAAGAAAAAAGTAAAAATAGATTAAACTAAACATGCGCAAAGAGTATATTACTTGCAAGGAACAGTAGTGAGTTGAACGGACCGGTAATGAGTCTTTTTAAAAGCTGATGATACTGCAATAATAGCTGAGGATGATAGCGAGAAGCTTATTGTACGTAGAGGAACGTAGAACTATTTTAAGAAATTACATTTAAATACCGATGCAATAGCAATAACTCCCAACGTGTCGATATATCGCGTTAGTATCTAAATATTTTCAATATTATTATCATTAATATCATTAATATTATTAATATTATTAATATTATTAATATTATTATTATAATTGTTATAATTAATAATATTATATTTATCATTATTACTATTACTATTATTTTCTCAAATTCATAAGAACTTTAATATCATCCCGCCTATAACGGATTTAGCTGTGGTGGCCTACGCAATGATCGCAAATGAAAAGATTCAAAGTTCAAAAATATTTGGAAAATATTTTGTTATCGTAATAAGAAGATAATAAAGCTTAGCAAAACAAAAATTGCCTCGATTGAACAAGCGTTCGTTGCTTGTTCATATTCGTAATTAAAACATTGTTTTATATATATTTATATATATTGATTGTGTATGTGTGTGTATAGTACGGTGTATGTTGGTGTGTGTATATATATATATATATGCATATATATAAGTTTTTCAGGTGAAGATAACAATTTGTTCATTTAAGATGAAGATTGCTATCTTGACCTGAAAAACCTACATATAAATATATATATATACCATTATAATTACAATAACGCATGACAAATCTATGCACGATTTCTGGTCGAGATTCAATGGAGTACTTGTACTATGGTAAGACACGGATCGACGGTAAAACGACTTGATGAGGCGGTGTAGTTCTAGCTGCATATACCCGAGGCATCAACCAGACCACGAGCAATCAGTTCAGCTGTTGCCGGGTCACTTCCTTGTTTTCCACTAGAATGTTGTTGAGTTTGTTGGCTAGTGTGTGGATCAAAATGAGTGCGAACGTGGAACATGAATTCCGCTTTATCCGTGAAATCCGTGCGACACATCAAACAAAAATGCCTTTCTGATGAGTACGGCTGTGGCGGCGGAACCGAGGCAGGAAAATAAGGGGCTGCGTGTTGTGGCGGTACTGGAGAAGATTCCAAATGTGACCTACAACGAGAAAGAAAGTTTTCAAAGATTTTAGGAATATTCTAGTGAAGTTGTCTTTATTGTTTTTAGGGTTCCGAGTAACCTACCGAGCATGTTGCATCCACTCATCTCGCGTGGCTAACACTCTGCCGCATAATTCGCAAGCCCAACTAACAGGTTCTTCTTTTAATTTATGAACAGGATCTTGACGAGGTGGTTGCTGTTGCTGTTGTTGCTGTTGTGACGCTTGTTGTTGTTGCTGTTGTTGCTGCTGTTGTTGCTGTTGCTGCTGCTGCTGTTGTTGTTGTTGCTGTTGTTGATCCGTATTAGGTGCCGTAGGTGTAGACAATGTCGTAGCTCCAGGTCTATGTCTAAGCTTGTTCATATGTATCACCAATTTGTCTCTACGAGCGAACGCTTTACCTGCAAAATGTATACCACTCCCGCAATGAAATTGTAAACTGGTGTATATATGTAGTAGAAATGAAGATAAATGTCATTATTTGAAGGTACTAACCGCAAACCTCGCAGGAATAGGGCTTCTCTCCGGTATGTATGCGCATATGAATGACCAATTTATCCTTACGAGCCAAACCTTTTCCACATACGGTACATGCGAATGCTTTTGTGTTGGGTTCACCGGTATTGGTGGCTTTGGATACTGATCCTGGACGTATTCCTACGTTATTGGTCGTTCGAAGCGGTTGATTGATCGAGGGGGCTCGTGAACTTGGAAATTGTTGTTCTGTTGAGCCAGGAAATGCAGGCATCACTCCACCTGGTCTCATTACTGCCGAATAATCAGGTGACCTATGTAACCCAATAAAAATAATTATGGTAATGATTTAGGATTAAAGATAAAATGTATGTTTATAACTATGAAGTTAAGCTTTACCAAGTGCCAATAGAACGAAGAACACGAACACCATCGTCGTATCCGAGACCATCGTCAGGTAAAGTGAATGTAGGATTAGGAACCTGTGGGTTAGTAGGTGGAACTGGACCTGTCAGTCTCGCCTGGGCGGCTTGCTGTGCCATGTGTTGCTGGATTGCAGCATGGGCTTCCACGTACGCCGTTCTTTGCTGTTGTCCACCGTTTGACATCTTATCTTTGTCGCTATTCTGCGAAATGAAATATTAGGGTTGCGTCAGGATTCAAATAAA